TTAAATATATATATACTCACGAGCGTTCCTTCGCGCCGCAAATTGCGTCCATGAGCAATTTGTTTGTCGGGAGAAGTGGCCGCTCATCAATCGATTATTTCTTTCTTTCTTTCTTTTTTCTCTCTTTTCTTCCTCGTCGGATTTTTCCCGGTCTTCACGTTGTGCAAAATCGTTGAACGAGCAACCTCGATTTCCTTCCGATCGAACGCATTGAACACAGTGAATTAATTGTGAAACGCGCTTTACGATGCGTTTGCTGTGAGCGATCAATTGATAGTTGATTTGCCCGCGCAGTTCATTGAGAAAATAACAAACGTCGGTGGGTGGTCAATTTTGCGGGGACTAGACACTGGTGATGTGGCAGTTGCGCGCGTCTGTACGTTCTCATCGTGTAAATTTATGAAGAGGAATTTCAGATACACATACACACGCGTTACATGAATTTTCACAGCACTTCGTGTGCAACCCAATAATATATAATTAATGTTCCTTGACACTGAAACGCATAACCCAGTGGCAGGCATATTGATTATTGTCGATACGTGTTTAGGCAAAAAATGCAACACACCACGCAGTTTTGTACAATTCCAAATACCAATGATACCGGTGATATCAAATACCTCCAATGATAAAGAAAAAAAAAAAAAAAAAAGAAAAAAAGAAGATCAGACCAATCTCTCATTTCCTACTCAATTCACTCAAAACGCGTCACACGTGATATCGACGTGAAATCGAGAATCGAAATATATCGCAAAAAACGAATGTACCAGAGCATGATAAACAGCAAAACGATCATCGCGTTGCTCGTAATAACGAGTTACGGGCTGCAGGGGCCACCCTTGGAACGAATGGATCGGGAGACGAACAACTTCCGGCCAGGGCGATCTCCGTCGATCGATAGGAGGACGCTCGAACGTGAGCAAAACGCGAGTCGCACGACGCGAGATGCCGACTGTCGGTAAAAATTGTCTATAAGGCACGGCCACGAGGACGCTCGTCTCTCGGATCATCGATTAGGATCTCCATTCCTCTTCATTCTTCTTCTCGTTTTTTTTCTTCTCTCTCTCTCTCTCTCTCTTGGATTTTCTGGCGTCCGTGGGCCGCGTGGAAGAGAGAAACTTCGTTTCTCCACTTGCTGTACGAAAATAAAGCGATCTCACGCGAGGAGGATGATCCTCTAGTAGAACTCGACAGATGGACAGACCGTGAAACAAGATCGCCGTTTTATCGTTCCACGGTCAGTCGACTGTTCGGTACCCTCGGTTCGCGTTCGAAGAGCAATTAGCGCGAACTTCGAGGGCGGGGGGCAGTATAATATTAAACTTACTCGTCCAGGCAAATTACAAATGGCAAAAGGCTCGCAAACGAACGCCAGAATGGCCGCGCGAGACGCTACGAGATTCTATAAATCGCTTTTCAGTCCATAACAAATGAGAGGCTCGATAGCCGAGAGAGAGGCTGGATCACGACACTCAATTGTCTGCCTGTTTCGTCAGGGTTGAAAAAAAAAAAAAAAAAATGTAAGAACGTTCACCTTTGAGTTAAGAATCGAGCGGGCCAACGTCCTCGATCGGGCTATCAAGCGCCTCAAATAATTCCATTTTAGTCGTCAACACTGATAAAAGCCTCTAAACATTTTCACCTTAGAACGCTACGCAATCTAGTGTATAGTAACTTGGCTTGTACTTTTGTCGTCAATGAAGTTAGGAATATAAACGCGGAGGTCTGCAGTTAGAGATATGTTTAGCGTCTCGCTGGACCGTTTCTCGACGCCGAACAAGAGTGACACGAACGATTCTAGCTTCGAAGCTTTTTGCTTCCTTATCCTTATCCTTTCGAAAGATATTGTAATGCAACTCGGTTGTATTATCGGATTCGACTCTCTTCGACATTTTCTTTCATATCGCGTAATAATACGATTGATCCTGAAAACGTGTTGTATAATCTTTCATTGTAATGCTAGCTGAAATGTATCAACGACGCAAGATAATAAAATTCATATCAAATACACCACGTGGAACTATCGTTCGTAAAGATTCTACAATATTAAAAAGTTACATCCTCCAAAAGAATACAACTTGCGATCGAAAGCCTCGGTCCTCGCAGTTATTCCAATTAACAACGCAGATTCCGCATAAGAAACGCGCTCGCCAGGATTCGCGTATTGCAACTGCCAGGGA